ATCGTTTCCCATAATATTTTTGGATTCTTACTGGCTGAAATAATTTGATTTTTAAAATGTTGTTTGGCTTTGCGTAATTCAGCAACATTGCAACATTACATTGGGGTCCAGTTCTGTGGGTGTGTGGGAACATTGGATTGTGGTTACCTGAGGCGTATCTGCGCTGTGAACTCTGCTCACTGGTTTTTGGTGGGTGGTGTTCTGGTTCTGATCAGTAAACTTGTGGTTCTGGTAGTTGTTGGTGGTGTCGCTCCAGGAACGGGTCATCATCTTTTGTGTTTGTCGAACTGTTAACAGACTGAAACTCCTCTCCAGACAATGATCACATCTCTGTCGACTGTGAGGRCAGTACTCCACTTTATACGTTTCTTTAACAAAAAAAAAGAAATGATAAAATATTGATGACTGACTAATATTTTAACGAAATGTTAGTAAAAACTGTGAGCATACAATCTTTTTCAACTCAATACAAAAGAATGAAGGCTGTAAAACACTTCAAGGTTCAAATCCACATTTTCTACTTTTTACCAAAGTGTTAGGATTAGATGGTTAAAGTTAATTATAAAGGGACTCCATCTTGTTTTAAAAACCTCACAGACACTCCCTGAGAGACTCCAGAGGGTCTCATTCTGATCAGATGTCTGAAACACCTCAGCTGATCTCTTGTTTTAATATTTGATCTAAGGTTTTAGAAGTGTTTTGTGTATTTGTGGTGTTGTTTGGATTTTAATGTGTAATTTTTCACAGATTCTTAATGAACTGATCTGTGATGATTGTTTGGGAGATCTGATGGGTAGAGACAATTGTTCTGATCACCTACAGGTGTGTTTATTGAGTGTTGGCATTTAGAAGATGCTCAGTTCCAGTAGACCTGTTTGGTCTGTGGAAATGTTTTCATGGCTGAAACAATGGTATAAAGTTTTTTGATCACATCCAGAGCTACATGTTTCTGTAGGAATTCAGTCAGGGATCAGCACCTCAGGAGGACTACTGGTGCTCAGATTTTCCCACCACAAGTATCTCATTATCATGTAGCATGTGACTGTGAGGATGTTTACCATCAGTTCTCCACTGACTCTTATTTCTTGTCAGTTTACTGTTTTCCACAGCCTGGATGATGGCTTCRTTTAGCTGCTGTGCTGAAACCTGCAAACAAGATGGAATAAAAAGCATTGATGTTTGGTTTTCATGAGAAAAGTCTAAATGCATCTAAAGATCCCCACAGAATATCTTTTACATTAAAGTTCTAAGTCAGAGTTCAAACTAGATATTTAAAAGTCCATCCATCCATCCATCCATCCATCCATCCATCCATCCATCCATCCATTTATCCATCCATCCATCCATCCATTTACCCATCCATTTATCCATGCATCCATCCATCCATCCATCCATCCATCCATCCATTTATCCATCCATCCATCCATCATCTTCCTCTTATCCGGGTCAGGTCTCGGGGGCAGCAGCCTCAGCAGAGACCCAGAC